ATGCGCGATTAACTGGAAAAAGTGCTTCAGTTCCGTATAAAGAAAAAAATAATTAACCGATATTACATATTCAAGGAAATTCATGAATGACATTACTTAAACACGTTTCAACTTGGCTAATGGCGAATAGGATTTGAAATAGCCTTATCTTGCACTGCATTCCTGCCAGGTCCCAAAAGCGATTCCCGTTCACCGATCTTCGTTCTGGTCCTAAATTACATAAACCTTTCTCCCTCCTTCCCATTTTACATATATAATAGTAAAATGTTCTCACTGTCACATTCCCACACATTACACTCAACGATCGCTCTAAGAAGCAGTCTGGACAGGCGGCATATTTCTAATCCCTGCTACATTCAAGAAGTCTGGAACACGAGCCTGATCCACTTCTATCAAGTAATGAAATAAACGAAAGAAAGGAAAGATCAGTGACAGTAGATGTGTATCATAAGGCTTCTCCGCTGCCTTACAAATTTTCTGTGAGCGTGAATCAGCCACATATTCGGGCTGAGGATGTGGTTAACTATAATTTTCTGTTCTCTAGTTGGTTTGAAATCATCTTCACCTATTCTCAAAATTATATGATGAAAAGAAGAATCAAAGTAATTCAGTAAGTTGGAACAACAGAACATATTTAATTGTGCACCACTAGCCACTTTTCCATCTGGCCTCTCTCAATTAATTATTCTCTTGCCTAGGTGAATTTCACATCTGCTTTCTCCCGCGAAGCCGAAACCAAGTTGCCCTCGTGTTTCAAATACCTTTTTGAAAACTATCTAATTTACGTTGACAATCAAAATGTAAAACCTCCCCGCTTTACGTGCGTGAATTTAGGATATAATTGCCGCACATTTAATATTTGATTTTACAATTAGCAGTGAACAATTCATAATTTTGAAGTATTACGATTTAGTTTTTTGACTTAAAAAATAAAATAACATTATATGCAATTGTTTTGTATCCAAAAAAACTCAAATCATTGTAGTGAGCTAAACATACGATTTTGGAAAATTAAATGAATGAACGTATTTATAATCAGAAAATGTTAGGACCTGGCGTCATTATTATTGGATATACTTCAAGTGCAACGTTTTGTTATTGATGTGAATGTTTGTTGTATTTATTATGGAAGTTATCAGCTGAAGAATCACACTATCACGTTTTCTGAGATACCCCAGCTCGTCGAATTTTAATCTAGTGTATGAAAGCTTAAAATGACGATAGCGAGATGAACCATGATATAATTTGCCATCGACCGGAAAAGAATAGAGGTATATGTTTGGTTCGGAGACAAAACACAATGCAATCGCAGTTTATATTAAGTGTAGTAGAGATAAGTTTAGAGGTATGAACGAGAATTACGAAAGAGAGACGAATTTTTAAATTAGATCCAACCTTTTTAGAAATAAACTTTCTATATTCACGGGCTTGAAGAATATCATGAGGATTTTGAAATATATTAAGGAAGTCGTTGTGCAGTGAGAGTTGCTGTGGACGGCGCACCAGTGTGGAGATATCAATTTAGACAGTAAATAGGCCGAATCTCCAGATTTTCCATGCTTGCAAAAAGAGATCACCAGATATCATTCAGAGTTCACTTTATGCTTCACCACTTTATGTAACTTAATTTCTCAACCATCATCCAAACAGTTCCACTAGGCACCCACCTTTCAACATTCTGAATCTCATTTTAAATATTTACGTTCACACTATTATCCCCGCCAACACGATAATTAGTTCCGTTTAATACGATTATAAAAGTATAAACTAGAATTTCTCGCATGGAAGTCCCAATATCACTCCTTCTTTGTCTGTTATTTTCCTTAAATCGAAATGCATTATGATGGTTTCAATGCTGAGAGTGTGTCGCGATGCACGTGCGCAGACACAGCGGGAGAACGGGCCTTCCCCAGTGAACGCATCCACGGCGAGGAGGTGACGTTGCCACGTGGCAGCGCGCAATGACATAATCCACCAACAAAGAGAACAGAGACCTCAACTGCACGCCGCCCGCCGCGCCGACACGGCCTTCGGCCGCGCCTCTATAGTAGTGAGCCCGCTACACTGCAGCGCCCCTTTATCCTCCCACCCCCCCACCTCTCCTCCCCTCCCACCCCGCCCCCCACTTCCCCTCCACCGCCCTCTCCTCCACCCGCGTCCCTTCCCTCACCCCCACCTCCCCCTCTCCCCACCCGCGCATCTTCTCCACTCAATTCTTCTCTACCCCCGCTTATCCCTTCCACCCCTCTGCTCCTCTCCTCCCCACCCGCCTCCTCTCCAACCCCCCTTCCCCCGCCTCTTCTCACTTTAATCCTTCTTAGCCCGCCCCCTTTCCCCTCCAGCCCGCCTCCTCTCCACTCTCCAACTCCCCTCCACCCCTGGACTCCTCACACGACTTCCCTCCCCGCCCACCTCCCTCCACCCCGAGCTTTCCACCTCCACTCCCCCTCTCCTACCCCCCCCGCCTCTCTCCCCTCCGCTCCGCCTCCTCTCTAGCACCATCTCCCCTATTCCCCACCCCCGCCCTCTGCCCACCCCCACCCTCTATCCTGCTTCCGCACTCCCCTCCACTCCCTTAATACACCCCACCTTCGCTCAGCGCGCGCCCCCACCCCCTCACCTCTGCCTGCTTCCTCTTCTTCCGGCCTCTGCCTCCGCTCCTCCGCCT